AAGTGTGACTGGAAAAATAATTTATCTCATAATAATTTACTAAGCTATTTAATTGTCTTGCGTAGTTTCCTGTATCTTACGTTTTATTTTACAATAAAAAGATGAAAGGTTACTATTTCACAGGAATTTAGGCAAGTCCCACAGGATATCCAGAAAGGTGTAGAGCTGTGCACGGTGTGAGGCAGAGCCTTGCAGACCATTCACAGGGCCCTCGAATATACGATTCTGTTTGAGATTCTTGTTGTTTCTAGCACAGCTTCTTCCGTGAATGTCACATCCCCGTGGCAGAGACAAAGGACCGAGACATCATTTTGGAGGAATGTTAAACCCTCTGTTCGATGCCGTGTGTTGGTGATTTCCCCCTGCCCACGAGCTAAGTTGTACCGAGCGGCAGCTATGTGCTGGGGCCCTGTCCTGGGCATCTGGAACAGAAAGAGGGGTGTGGAATGGTTTTTCCACACAAGGACATAAAATACAGTTGCAAAGTGAGATTTTTCCATTTCATTTCATACACGTTAAATTGCATGGACGTGCTCCCTAATTCTCAACGTGGAACCTCTTGACTTTCGGGAACTCCAAAGAAATACTGGGGATGAAGGTCCTGGAGTTTATTTTAGCCTCCCAGGAAGTCAAGGGGCAGAATGAATTTGTGCCCTGAAAAGGCTGCATAGTCTTTTTTTTAGTGTATCTTTATTGATTTCAGAGAGAGGAAAGGAGAGGGAGAGAGAGAGAAACATCAATGATGAGAGTCATTGATCGGCTGCCTCCTGCACGTCCCCCGCCTGGGGATCGAGCCCACATCCCAGGCGTGTGCCCTGACCGGGAATCGAACCCCAATCGCCTGGGTCCTAGGTCGACGCTCAACTGCTGAGCCATGCCAGCCGGGCTGGATAGCCTTTAGCTGACATTAAATCATAACTCTCCCTCCCTCTCCTCCCCCCCCTCTCATTTTTATCTTGTATTTTGTCTTTTTCTTTGGGATATTAGAAAGCTCAAAGTGTAATGCCTATTATTTCTTACTTTAAAAAAGGGCTTCCTTTTAGTAAGTAATAAGAGTGTGAGGATGAATTAACTTTGTCCAGCAACTAATACTGTATTCCTTAATGTTCTGATTAGCTCTATGTCCACGGATCTTGCATTTTCGTGACAGGCTTGCAAGTGGTTGCTACAACCACTCCCGCTTTGCAGATGTCAAAACAGAGTTTCGAATGAGGGTGATTTGCCCAAGGACATTCCAAAAATTAGAGGGTGGAGCTGAAGTTGAAGCCAAAGCTTCTGCCTCCAAATCTCATGTTAGTTCTTCCAAACAGATCACTATGGGACCGATTCTAGCATCTTTGTATTCTGTTTACACCCGATGATGACCATCTTTAAAACTTCTAGATCCTATTAATATGCTAAAGAAAAGGGGAGCCCTCTTGCCCTGGCTGGTTTGGCTCAGTGGTTAGAGCATCATCGGCCTGTGGACTGACGGGTCCCGGGTTTGATTCCGGCCAAGGGCATGTACTTCGGTTGCAAGCTCAGTCCCAGGCCCCAGCTGGGGCAAGTGCTGGATGCAATCAATCGATAAGTCTCTCTCCCATCAATGTCTCTCTCTCTTTCCCTCTCTCCCTTCACCCTTTCTGAAAAAGCAATGGAAAAAATATCCTCGGGGAAGGATTAACAAAAGAAAAAAGAAAGAAAAGGGAGCTCTCTTTTCCTTCCAATGAGCTACTTTTCTAGAGAAGAGATCAGGACTTAATAAATCAATACTTTCCCTCTGAATTGCTTTTTTAGCTTTATTTTCCTTTCACTGTTGAGCTTCGGACTTACTAGTGATTGAGATTTCTCAATAATAATTTCCAGACACCGGCCCCCATCAACGATAGTCTTCAACTTAACCATTAAACCCTATGAAATTAAATCTGCCAGGGCAAATACAACGAAAGATGGCAGTAGGAGGGGGTGAAGATTAGTAAATTATTCAAAAGAACTGAGCCAGCTCAGCAAGCATCCTTCGTCCACTGTTTTAGTTCCCTCAGGGTGAAAAGTAAGTCATGCTCCTGACCACTTTCTTAAGAGCAAGGCTCTTGCCTCTGCTGTTGGAGAGCAGGCAGGGTTAAAAACATAAAACCAGGTATATAGATGCCACACGCAGGGAGAGATTTTGCCTTTATTTGATGCTAAGGACAGAGCCAACTATGCAAATGCCACACGCAAGGGGACCCATTAGCCACACGCGTACTAATTACTCAAGTATTTGCTACCACAGCAAGGCACCGGCATGCTAACTGGCTATCGTTTGGGCACACTGGAATTTTTGGGCTAATATTAATAATCCCTTTTCTAAGCCTCCTTACTCTCTTCTTTCAAAGAACCTTTATTCATTTTTTCTGCCCAGCAAAATCTAAGTTCTCAAAACCTAGGCTTAAGCAGAGTGCCAACAAAACATAAGGAAGGGGAGGAGGTGTTGGAATGAAGGAAGAAACTCTCTAACTCAAGCCTGTTTCCAATCATATATTTTACACAGGTGACCCCTGTACGCACGGACTCGTGTGCGTTTTTCCTCAGAATTTCTAAAGTGGGTAAACGGTGAATTCAGAAATTCAAGCTACAGTTATAACTTCTTTAATAGACCACCCTGTGACTCAAAAGAATTTTATGGTTAGGAAATTCTGGCTTATGTGGGATTTTTTCCCCATGAAATTAAGTGAATTGAATTTATTGTGAAACAGCTTTAAGAAAATAATTATAAAATAAAAACTTAGCAATGCAAAACTAGAAATGCCAAGGTTAAAATTAGCCAGGAATGGCACCTTTCTGTTAATAATTCTGTGTGTGTGTGTATGTGTGTTATGGAAGGAAGAGTTTTGCCACCTGGCTGCTGCTTCTGTGGGCCCTAAGGTGCACCTGACCTCCCTCCCTGCTCTGTGTGTCACCAGACGCTACAAGGATCGCTCCACTACTTGATCCAGAAGTTCTCTCCAGAGCTGTTCTTTCTTAATGGGAATTTCAGAATTCTCACAACAATCTCCTTCACAGGCTAAATATTTCAGGTATTCATAGATAATCGTTAACCATGACGGCAGGTTTCAACTGGGCAAGCAGTGCATTAACATTTAAAAGTTCTGAATTTAAAAGTGAACTTACCCTTAAAGAAAATTTAAATGAAAAGTTTCTGCCTCCAAAGTGGTTAGCCACTGACAGTAGGTTGTCAGACAGCCTTTAAAGAAAACAAGAGAAGACCTCCTCTTTGGTTCAGTTTACACCAATAATTGTAAACAGTATTTGAATATATAATTTAAAAGTATAGTAGTATAGATGCACCGGGCACTCAACTCTGAGAAGACTTGTGAGTTGTCGCTCATGCCCCATGAAAGGTACAGGAAAAGTGATGGAAACAATAGGAACTTTTCTATGTGACTACCGGCGAGGTAGAGCTATAAACATTTAGCATTAGGAGGAAGGGCAGAGCACCCAATACTGGATTTTAGAAAGTGATGGAAGTGGTGAGTTGCTAATTTGGATTTATTATTCAACCAAAGGACCAAATGACCAAAATATTCATTTTAATTTGTAAATGAAAGATGCTTCATCCATACAATGCAATCTAAAGTCACCAATTAAAACACAATAACATTTCCTGTGTCACAGAGAGGGAGACAAATTCACTGACAAGGATAACATTTCATAGATATTTTTGAATGAGGAAGACATTGCAGAACAGAATGATCTCAATCCCTTTTACGTAAAAGAAGTTTTATTGTTTCCACTCAAGAGAGTGTAAAGTCATCTAAACTAATCCATTACCACTTCTGGAAAGAAGACCCCCAGAGCTAATGACTGTAAGCCATTCTGTCATTTTGATATAAACACTGAGACACACCAGAGGGAGATAAGTAACTGCCAGGTGAGTTGCTGCAGCCCCTGGCTCGGTGTGGCCCCTGGGAAGTGGGCTGTCCTGGGGCTTGGACGGAGACGTCTCATGTTTGCTTTGGCAAGGTCACCACATGGACACTCAGCTGTCACAAGTGGCTTCAGATTCTCAGGGAGTTTTCTAATGTTATTCTGGGATTTTGATTCATATCAAATGTGGAGAATTTTGAATTACGAGTGAGTGTGAACTCTTTGGTGTCCCCCCATTTAGAGGATTTTTAGCGCGTGAGTTTTGTGTGCTCGATAGATAGATATATAGAGGTGTGCTCTGCCTACTTCTGGCTTGTGCTTCCTTCTTTGGTGGACCGATTAATAACACATTGATGATAATAAGAGACTCATGATCATGGAAAATGGTAAAAAAATCAGAGAGATTGGTCAGTACTGAGGTACCTACAGATAACAGCAAACATATACTTGCCCGGGTTGTCCACTCATTGTGTCCACTCAAATACCCATGTGGACCGCAACCCACGGTCGTTTCTAGGAACTGTCAAGAGTTATGAAGACGACGANCGAGGTACCTACAGATAACAGCAAATATACTTGCCCGGGTTGTCCACTCATTGTGTCCACTCAAATACCCATGTNTGAGGTACCTACAGATAACAGCAAACATATACTTGCCCGGGTTGTCCACTCATTGTGTCCACTCAAATACCCATGTGGACCGCAACCCACGGTCGTTTCTAGGAACTGTCAAGAGTTATGAAGACGACGATAGCTATTGACATCACCAAGTGTCACTGGCTGTCAGGAGACTTACCGTGGGAGTCTGCTCGGACACATGCCATCAAAACCCCTTTGCTCCTGTCACTGTTGAGTCACACGTGGCAAACGGCTGCGTGTGACGTCTGCGTGGAGGCCTGCTGGGGGTGGTCAGCGAATGCGTGACCGGCTGCGAAAGAGCACGCACTGCGGTGGCTGTGGGAGAGAAAAGCTAGACTTGCACGAAACAGAGCTGATACAGCTGGGCCCCAAGTCGGAAGTTCTGGAAATGGAGCCTGGAGCCCTGCTCAAGGAGTCCCGGGGCCTTCCTCTCGACTTGGGCTGACCCGCCTTCTCCTGTCTCTGTTTATCCCTAGAATGCAGTCCCAGCAGCACCTGCAGCAGCGTCGAAAGTTGGCAGCTGCCTTCTTGGCATTCATTTTCATCTTGGCAGCTGTGGGCACTGCAGAGGCGGGGAAGAAAGAGAAACCAGGTAAGCGGCAGGGCCCGGGGCCAGGCTCTTCCGGACCCCGTCCTTCTAATCCAGAGGCTGACTGTGTG